ATATGTACTTTTTACTGCGTACCTACTGTAAGTTAAATCTGTAAAAAGTATATTTCAGTGATTCATTTCTGGAATTATATTCATAATTACATTTTCTCTCACTTTGGCCTCCATATTGGATTCATTTTGGTTTTAGAACAAAATAAAACTCTCACACACCCCTAAAAAAAAAAAAAAATCTCTGTGCCCAACAGGAAATTAACGTCAGCATCCTGATGATGCATCTGCTCTGTTAACTGCGTCTGACTTGATAGAATGCGAGAGCAAAGGGGACTTAATGGATGAGTGGGAAAACGTGACTTGCACTTATTTTGGGGGGTCTTTTTTAAATTACAGTCATTTAGATGTAATTGCCAGGTGTTACGCTTCACCTGCTTTCAGGGGGAATGTGTGCTAAACAGCTGTCACACATTAACTCAAAAACTAGGTGGCATTAGAAAGCACTTAGGCAGCTGGAGTACACAGGCAGTGCTCAACACTCAATGCGTACATGCACACAGAAGCCACTGAAAACTATCAGCTACATGCTTTGCTTGAGTTTGACAGCAATTACAACACTTGTATTACATGAAAGAAAGATACATGTGTTATTATCACATTCAAAATAAATAAATAAGCAGTACCTGTGTATGTTTAGGTGACATAGATGCACAGCCAATCTCACAATGAATGCCTTTAAATGTGTGCTGCACAATATCACATCAAAACCCCAAATGATGAAGAAAAAGCATGGGAGGGATTCATTAATGATGCTCTGCACACCGATAGCTTCATTTATTTGCATGTGTTGTCTGTGTTATTTTACCACCTTCACTAAAGGAATTATGCAAATGAGGTAATACAGCAAATATAGGCACACATTTACTGCTGATCGCAATTTGCATGGAGCATTTAGAGAGAGATTTTGAGTGCTAGGTTGACTGGGATACAGTTATATAATGCTCGTCTTTATCATTTGATCATCATGTGATGGCAAACTGCTGGCATAACGTTCATAAATATAGTAATAAATGTAGCAGTAATAGCGCAGTAGTGCATAGAAAGGTGTGTTTGCCTAAACATGAATAACAATATACTGTTCAAAAGTTTTGGGTTGGTACTGTAATATGTTTAAACGTTTTAAAGACGTAAAAATGTAGTCAAAACAGTAATATTGTGCAATATTATTGCAATTTAAATGAACTATTTCTATTTGAGTATATTTTGTAAAATTATTCCTCTGATCAAAGCTGAAAACAGTTGTGACGCTTTATTTTTGTGTGGAAACCATCAGTGTTGAAAGTTACTTTTAAAAGTAATGCATTACAATATTACTATGCTACTTTTAAAATCAGGGCTGGGTTTGCTTGTTTGTTTATAATATAACTGGTGTTACTTATTTGAAAAAGTAACTCGGATATATTCTTGTAAATTAAAAAAGTAATGCATTACTTGTTACTTAAAAACAAAGTAATCTGATTACATAACTCGTGCTATGTGTTTGTTTTGTTAGGATTATTTGAGAAGTTAAGAAAGTTAAAAAGAGCAGAATTGATTTTAAATAGAAATCCTCTGTAACATTATAAAAGACTTTGATGCCAATTTAATGCATCTTTACTGTATGTACTAATTCCTTCTTGAATGTTATGGCGCTTTTCCACTGCGTGGTACGACTCGGCTCGGTACAGCTCAGTACGGCACGGCACGGTTCGGCTCGGCACGGTTTGCGTTTCCACTGCAGTTCAGTACCGCTTTAGAGTGGGCAGGATTATTCACATGTCGTTATAGTTGCG